CGTAGTCATATGGAGGGATTAACAATAATTCGCTTAGTTGGCAGGATGGAATAAATTTTTGATAAAAAATACCACTTGACTTGGCATAGTATTATGATATATAATTTCAAATTTCACAGCAAGCACTCAACATAATTCATTCTAATAAGAAGACGCATAACTCATTCAATAATGAATTGGTACGAATTCTACCGTCCATTGCAGCAATAGATTCGGTTTGAATATTTTATGGATTTCGGAATAACGTTAAGAGTCTGGAAATATTTAATGAGTTCCAAATAATTTATCTTGAGAATGTAAGGCTTTTGACCGCCTTAATTTCTACAATTGATTTCGTGAATGTCGGCCTAAAATCTTCGACTAATCATGTGAACGTCTCTCTAGTGAAATGTAAGCTTGATGAAGATACAAGTGTAACCCAGAAAATGATTACTGATGAGCTAGAGTTGAATGCATTTGGCGAAAACTGAAGTGTTTTGCTCGATATTTTATTTAAGAAATTGGATATGGAGAGTTCAGTACCTTCAATTAAATTATAACAGATGGTAAAGCTTACTTTTACAAATACCATCCAGAAATAAAACAACTAGTATGGAGCCTACATAAGACTAATCCACCTATTAAAATCAGGCAACAGAAGTCGGCAAAAGTAATGTCACCAATTTACTTTAGCAGAACAAAAATTGCAGCTGATATTCGTCTGAAGATTGGACAGACGGCGGCAGCCTGTATATGATATACTGAACCGGCTTCAAAAATGTGTAAAACCTAATGGAAATTATATTGCAAAACTAAAAATTGATAACGATTAAAGTAATGATATTTTTTTTATATATCAAAATTTGTTTAACAATGTTTTTTTGTTGGCCCTAATATTAATAAGGAATGTACCTGAAAATTATAAGGGTTGTATTAAGGGTATTAATATACTAACTGCAATTGTTTTAAAGATGTAATTTTTTCATCTAAAAGTACAATTATCAATATATTTTAAAATATATATAATATTCTGTAAGCTGTGTAGTGTATTGTGTATAGTATAATCAATGTGAAAACTTTGCAAATTTATATCTTGATGTCTCTAGAAGTAAGCTACTTATATGAAAGTGTGGAGTAATATAAAAAAATTTCAAATTGGTTTCTCCATATCTCAAAAACTTAGGTATATTGGCATATGAAGTAAGGGAAAAAGTTATTCTGACTCTACTAAAATCTGTTGTCTAATTGACACTGCGGCATTATACTAATAGAGTGCATAATCATACTAATAGAGTTTTATAGAGTTTTTAAAAATTGTTGACATTCAAGACATCTTATATTGTATAAAAGTATATATCTATTTTCAGACACTTAATTATTTTTCATTTATTAGAGCCGCTATTGTTTTGAGAGATTTTTAATGGAAGGATTAAAATATCAACACGTAAGCACATTTTACCGGTTGATAAGTGTATCTTTTTATTTCATGTTTACCTGAAATTTTGACAACTATTTTATTTAAGCTTCAATTCATCTAATACTTGAAATAATTACTTTGTAATATGTATTATAATTAATCTATTACAAATAATATATAATATACATAATAATACATATGTACAAATAATACATAAATATATAAATGTATATATATATATCATAAATTAGAAATGAGATCGGACGACTTTCAGAAATATAAGTTTTTCATTAACATTATCATGTTCAGACACATCTTAATTTCGCAAAAATCTTCATCTTTATTTCAACGAAATTAAGTTGTTTTTTTTATACAAATTTCAGTTTTAAGGTTAGAACGAAATTAAGGAAATGAAGGCTGAAATTAAGGGATATTTCAAAGGCAACTTTACGTTAGATAAATTTATTGGAAAAGATTAATTTGAGAAAACAAAAAAGTGACTTTTTTTTAAATAAATGTCAGTCACAGTTGACTTTAAAAAAACCGGGAAAATATTTTGATTACTCTCAAAATAAATTTAAATAAATAAATTTTTAAATTTGAATGTAGAGAAAATACTGCAAGTGTTATTAATTTAAAATAGAATGAACAATTAATAATTCACATACTTCAAATCCACTAAAGCTAATAAAACTACTGAATGTCATTCTATATAGTTATAATAATCAACTTTTAAAATTTCCCAAATACAAAAACATATGATTTCCTTAATTTGGGGCGGTATGAACACTTTCGAAATTAACTTAATTTCATTTTCACGAAATTAAAGAAATTTGGCTATCTGAACATAGTATTAATTTAAGTATCAATCAAATCAAGAGGTGCATTTCGTGTGCATATCGTTTAAATAAGTAAATAGTAAATAAAATTTTAAACAAATAGAACGGAATTTATTTGATCGCTTTTCATTGATGTAAATTTTAACTGACATTTCAAATTAAACTTACCTTGAGAGACATTTTTGCTATCGCGTTGTATTTTTCACCAGTGTATCTGAATTCACGATGCATCAGCTCTCTTCAGTCGATTGCAAGCATAAGTAGGTTAGTAACTACCTAATTACAACGCGTTATCAATGTAAACTCCGGTTTGTCGGTTTGTAGGTTTGTCGGTTTGTCGGCTTACCGATATATTTTTTGTTTTATTAACTGGTATTTAGATTAGTGCTATTTCATTTATATGTTGTTTTTTGCTTGATTGAAAATATGTATTTCTATTGTCAGTGCATTAACATTTACAACCGAATTGAACTAGTAGATTTTGCAGCAACCACAGTTATCACAACACCAAAACTGTAATGGGAAAAAAACACATTGTCAGTAAATATTATTATTATTATTGTTATATCACAAAAAGAGAACAACAACATCATAACAGACTTGTTCGCATTTCCGCTGCAGACAGTAGAAATTACTCTACAGTCAGTCAATGCAGCCTATCACGTACCTTCTGCTCAAAAAGTATCCGGATTTTGTTGTTTGTTAGCTACTCCTTAAGTAATAGACCTTTTTCAAACAATTTTTTTTTGTTATGTTGGTACACATACATATGACATATATATATATGGTACAATTAGTTTGTTTACAGCAGGTGTTAATGTGAGACTACTTCAAGTGCATTTAGCGATTTTTATTATGAAAAATTCTTGTTGACCAAACACGGCACCACTGTCATCGCTCAGGCACCATATTCACCAAATCTGGATCCGTGCGACTTTTTCCTGTTCCCGAAACTCAAATTGCTCCTTCGTGGTAAGCGTTTTGAGTCGATTGAATCGATAAAAGAGAATTCAGTGAAGGAACTAAAAGCCATACCTTCACGGGCCTACGAAAATTGTATGGAATTGCGTTGAGCGTCGGCATATGTGTATCGCTTCAGAAGGAGCATATTTTGAAGGAGATAAAATAAATTTGGAATAAAAGTTTTATTTACAAAATCCGAGTACTTTTTGAGCAGAAGGTACGGTCATAAGCGTGTTTGAAACCCAGCCAAGAACCGCCTAAGATAAGTAAACAACATTCCTTAATAATTTGTGATATCATACGGAACGTGATTTGTGCTTAAAGTTGGTATTACACATTATACTTGGTGCCACAGCGCTCGCTATTACACATCATTCACTACCAACATTATTTTGAACACTCCTCAGCAAAAAATATCACAAGTATGCAATAAAATATAATCATATGTGCAGTGAAACAATGTTTTCGCTTCCATGACTTAAAACTGAATGAAATTTGCATGGAAGCCGACAAAAATCCGATTGTCTAGAAAAATAAAACGAGCAAGACAACTCCGATTGTCTACGAAAATAAAACGAACAAGTTTAACGAAAAATCAAAATATTTTTGGTACAATATATGTACATCACATTTTAGGTGGAAAATATATAATTGACAGCAATACCACACTTTACTTGCGATAGCTTCTGATAGTAGCTTATGGAATAGATTCCAGAATATAGCTATGATAGAAATGATCATAGATTTGAATGGCATTAATTATATAAGAAAAGCGTTTAAGTTTTATTTTAAGTTCAGTGAAATTATATATTACTAATGAAAGTACAAGATATTTTAATATCTGATATCTGTTAAATTTCGAAATTAATATGAATATACAATTGACATAATGACCTCCCACTAAACAGAATTTTAAGCTTCGTCAAAGGTATCAGGTGGTTTTTACCTCCGAGGTTTTCCGCTTTACGGTAGCCCAATGAGCCAATAGACCTACGTGAATCTCCTTTGGAATGCCGGTAACACCTAACCTAACTCAACCAATAATTCACATACCTCATGTCACGAGACGTATGAAAATCTATAATCTATTTCAAGAAATTATCTATTCATTATAATGGTGTATAGTTTCTTGAACATTGTTGTGAACTAAATAAAATAAAAGAAATTTTAGAAAGCAATTTCATTGTAAATTTCTTATTACAAAATAACGGTTTATAAGAAACTAATGAGAGACCCGATCAAAAAATACAAAATAAGGAACAGAACACTGAAGCAATACGCAAAAACTGACAGGCTGCCCTACAGAGCACTATCTAATCTCAGAGCAGCAACTAGACGTACGAGGCGGTATGCAGATCTTAGATCAGTCATTGAATAGTCAGCGAAGCTTGTGAGGAAGAGGAACATTAGTCAAAGAGGAGAGGGGCTCTGTAGAAACCCCCAGCTAACAAAGAATAAAAGTGCCCAGTTGTACTAACTGAGAAAAACCTCAACATACGAAGAAACTAATTTGCACATTCTGTGCAAAAAGTACTCAAAATTATTAAAATTAACACATAATTAAAAAAATTATCACAACTTATTCTTGCATAACGTTGGTTTTGTGCTTTCGCAGAACACTCAGAAGTATAATAAAAATTATGACAGTCATTACGCGTGTTTTCATATTATCAATTTCGGATTTTTTTAAGAAGAATATATAAATAATTAAGTTAAAAATTTATATTTGTACATATCTATATTATTGATGCCATTACAAAAATTACAAAACAAAAACAATTTTTTTTTAGCCCAAATATTCTTTTTATTATTTGGACAAGATAGACTTATTGTCATTTGGAACACGCAATTTATGTAGTGTTTTACAGCTTCGAAAGATATCAGTAAAAACCATAGATTTTCATACTTTTAACGCTTGAATTTAGTGCAGCAAATAGGATCATACTTTCCACCTAAGCTGTAACCAGTTTCCAAATAAGGCTTGGCAGTGTAATCGACGGCAAAAACAACCGGGCGTGGCTCCTTGACCCAAATAGTCGGACGGCTAAGCAGCTCCGAATTAACATCTCTGGTCCGTGCACCACATTTAATGCACTGATTAAGGAATGATGCAGGCACACTAATTCTGTTATAAGGGTCACGATAGTAGTCACGAAATGATTGGCAGTCAAAGTAAAAGTCATCTATTTCGCCAAGTCTCCCGTAATCCACAAAATTTAGCCCAATGTTTGGAACAAAATCTCTCAAAACTCTACGTTGAGCTCTAGAATTTTTAGAAACCAAAAGCATATCAACTTGAGGTGGAACAACATGATAACGCATTTTGGCGTGTTCAAATTTGGACCGAAAAATTGAGATGATCTCTTCTAATAAAATAAAATTACAATAAAATTATAAAAAATTGTTCAATACTACATTTAGCTTTCAATAATTTGACATAACTTTCAATGCGTTCTGGCATAATTAACCTCAAACAATGGAACAACTTCAACATATAGGTGGAATAATTAAACTTTAAATATATATATATTTAGTATAGTATATTCATTATGTCAAATTGGTTATCAAGTACTTATATATATTCACTCAAGAAAAACAAACGATGTTTGCTGAATTAAAAATTGTCTAACTTCCAAATTATATAAATAGCACTACAAAATTTTTAATACCATCCAACTAAGTTGCATCTACTTAATCTGCAATTTGCCCCATTAACTTGTACTCAATCCTACTTCATATAGGGTAGGCTTAGATATATTTACTATGTAAATCTTAACCTTTTGTTCATCTACTTCACTCCTCAGTATAAGTCCACGCTCAGTATTAAGTTGAAATTCTCCAGCTACTCAGCAAAGTGGTCGACTATATACATATATTTTAAAGAACACTTTGAAACAAAACTTGCGAAACAGTTGATAAAAAAAAAAAGCCAGGAAACTATACCCAACAAGCGACGAAGCAAGGAAGAAAGTCAATAATCACCGCCTGGGGGCAAACATGGATCTCTAAATTGGAACGACAAAGAGGGAAAGTAAATTATTACCTGACAAAGATGCTGACGCGATAACAAAATACGTAAGACGATCACAACTTAAAAGTGGAATAGAACAAATAATGGTAAATCTCAATACAACAAATGTCGTAGGAAAAATTATGGAATTCGAAAGAAATTGAAGTACAAATCTTTACTTTAGAAGACTCAATTTACTTTGCTTTACTTATCTTACAATATTTGTACTTTTTTGCAAACTTTACAACAACAAAATTCTATAGAATAAAAGAGTGGTCCTAGACGTCAAAGAAAACAGCAACGTAATTTGAACGCAGATCTATAGTGAAAGCCTAGACGGAGATCCAATAAGGACAGATAATATACAGATACGTTATTATACGAATAATAACATAACTAAAAACACAGCTGAAACTCATTTTGCTATGTATTTTGTTATTTCGTCACTGTCCTTTCTTAACGATATTTACTATATCATTAAACCGCAATATTTATACAAAACTGTAGAGCTCTTAAATTTATTTCTAAAAAGAAGTAAGTAATTTTTAGACCTGGTAATAAATGTATTTAGAGATGGAGTTATACATATATTTATATTATTAAAAAATTAAAATGGATGATTGACAGCGAGGACCATACTTTAATACTGCATTCACACTGGAGTTTCGATTGTAATTTTAGTTGTCATTTCAAATGATTCGTGATTTCGATAGTGTTTGGCTATAGTTTAAAACAAGAAGATTTGTATGTAAATTTTAACAGCTGAAAATAGAATAGAATCGTAATTTCTACAAAATCAAGTTGATTTTAATTTGGACAGTTGACTGTAGTACAGTATTGAGCAGTACAAATCCATGCTATTGTGAATAGTTTTGAGAAAAAAAAAATTTAATACAAAAAGATACAAAACTGTTATTTAACTGTTATCATATGTATATATTATAGATATGTTATAGATATGTTAGTTAAAAAGTGTGAATATGTGATAAATCTTGCAATCAAATTGCAATGATTCGTCGTTTGAATCGATATTTTTGCTTCTCGATTTTAGATGTCAATTTAAAATTTTTGACAGTTAAAATTACAATTAAATCTTTCGTGTGAATCTAGTATTAACTTATGCAAGCTACAAAAAACACTTGCAGTCTAATAAAAATTGTCAAAGACTACAATTGGAAGAGTTTATTAATAGAGTTTTAAACCAAATTCCACTTTATACCTCTTCTTCATACGATTTACTTCATCTGATTATTGTGCAACTAGATATTTAGACGGAAATATAAGTTGAAAAAAAACTAAAAATTATGTTTATATCTACTGAGAAGTTAATAAATATCTTCAGTAAGGTTAAAATAAATAAACTTTATAAAAATCAGTATAAATGTCTCCTCTAAAGTCATAACGCAGTCGTCACCATCATCTACTGTCATTTCATGGTACAGCTTTCGCATTGCACAGAACTGTATTAATCTTAAGGAAAAAAAATAGTATAGACAATATTTTCCAGTTTTAATTCCAGTTTTATTTATTCTATTATATGCAGCCACAATCACCCAGATATTCTGTACTCCACATAAGCTTATCAGGAATCGTGTTCATCATTTCAAATGCAATTACAATAATAATTTCCATTTTTGCAATTGACTTTTTAAATTGTGTCACAGTCTTTAAATTGCGGTAAAAAACGTGTTCTATTCGTGATTAAATAAAATTTATTTAAATTGCTTGAAATTACCAATCGCTCTTGAACGATACCTACTTAAGCATCCGACTAAATAGCAGAGCTAAATTTATTTCACTTCCAATTGATTACTTAGTCAATTGTCAATTAACTACGCAAATGTTTATTATTTTATCTTAATTTCTAATTACTCAGTATTTCTCTTCTTGACTTTTAAATGGACTGATAAGTGGAGAAAATAATTTTCACACTCATTGTAAAAGCCACATTAACTCTAATAGAATTTTTCTATCACAATGGAAAAGGTATCAGAGATATTAACAAATCAATTTTTTTTATTGTAGGTATTTATGCTATAAAGTGTAGTATTCAATAGACTTTTTAGAATAATCAAGTCAAGTGGATATATTTGGTTATATATCTTCTCCGAAATAGAAAAACTAACCACATTGTATACACAATATGAGAAGTGTTAAACATAATTTAAACATTTAACTGATGTAGGCGTAGAGGTAGACCGTGCCTCCGGTGGAGTGATCAAGTTGAGACAGCACTAACCGTACTTGATATACAAGACTGGAGAAGGTGTGTACGCAGCAAAGGCGCCTGGAAAAACATGCTGCTTCAGGCCGACACCCGGTAACAGGTTGTTATGACCAACAAGTAAGTTGGGAATGTACATTCGCTTATATATACACAACATAGAACTGAAATATATATTTTTTCATAATAACATGTCTATTTTCATATTAGCTACTCACAAGTTTCTCTGATTTTACTTACTTTTCCTACCTAAAAGCTGTTGTAGTCTTCATCTTCCTTCAATTCTATTTAAATCTTGATATATATCTTGTTTATCATATCAATTAATTGCTCTTCACATTGTTATATTTTATTATTATCAATATCTATACCTTAACACCTCTTTCATTATTCTATTCTATTTTAATAGAATAGAATAAAATAGAATAAATAATAGAATAAAATCTATTGTTACCAACTGCTTTACTCGTAGGTATAACACACACATTATTGATTATTTAAGTAGGTAAACACTCCTATAGTAACAACTTCAGTGCCCTATACTGGATGACTGTGTAATGCATTGAGTCATGATATCCATATTATCCAATTATTTTAAACGACGAGTGTCGACTCTGTTTTTGATTTTTTTTGATTCTGTTGGCTAATAATTTCCCGTTAAATCTTTTTGAATAGCCTACTCTCATGCACGGTATTTGTGATCAACAAACAGACAGAGTCGCTATTCCTTAAGTGCGAAAAGTTTTTTGGATTTCCAAAGTCATCCAAAAGCATAATGTCGACAATTTAAAGGACTGTCAAATAAGACACAATAATTTAGCTCACCGCAAGATCCCCACTTCCTACTTGTCGTCAAGAAAATATTGCTTTATCAATGATGAACTTATTTTCATAAGATCTTCCAATCTCTCCAGAATTTTAAATGAACTTAATCTTCAAGTGTAGACAGTTTCATAACAAGGTATAAATATCATTGCTAAACTGATAATAATATATTGAGAATAAACCTAATTAACTAGAATTACAGAAAGTAGTCTTTATTATTTCTTCATTATTTTGAAGACTCTTAACTGTAGAATGCTAATCCTATGTAACAATGTGTTTATAATGATTTTAATTAGCTTTTTTTGAAACAGACACATACATATGTTTTTCAATTTTATAATGATATAAATAAAGACTGAAAAACATAATTAATTTCTCGTTTCATAGGGATATTTTGATATTTTTTTAAAAACAGATAAGATAAGATATTATTAAATTCATTATTAAAAATGTTATGGATGCGGATGAATAATGTGATAAGAAGACCTTTGTATATGAACCTAATGTATAGATTGATTAGGGCTATTTGAGTATATTCCTTAAAAGATGTGATAATGCTGATAATGAGATATTTTCTGCAATGATTCTGCAATGGAAATCTCTAATTATTTTTATTTGCATGATGATTTCATTTTAATTATATTTTAATTACATTAAAATGAAATAAATATATAGTATGTACCTGGACACGTAGCCAAAAAAAATGGGCTGTGTGCTGACTGAAACATTGTAACCCTAACAAAAATAAACGGTAGGATTGTATATTAACTTATGTTTTTTTTTTTGTATTAAAATACATCATTTCATAACTGAATCCAAAACAAAAGTATAGTCAATCCAGCTTTTTATCTACAATAACACCAATACTTAACATCATCCATGTGCTCTCAAAGTACTTTCTGGATAGAGACTTGTCTTTGACGTAAAATATGTAATTTACTATATATACATATAAAAATATGTGATCTTTTAATTATTCCATTTGAATTTTTTTCCTTAACTTTCATAATTCAAATACTTGATAAATCGAAACTTCCATTAATCGAATGGTTTTGCTGTTTCCTAGGGTTTCGAATTATTGAGGACATTTTTTATATTTATTTTTTTTACTTATTTGCTCTCTTTTTTTTTTAAATATATCCTCTTTAACTCGTGCCTCATCATTATGGGTATGCGAACAAGAGTGCTTGAAACCGATTTAAGACTCTTGCTAACCGATCACATATTCAACTATCTATCGCATGCAAGGTGTTTACTGAATTGATAAAAATACAAAATTAAATGATTTAATACCACTTAATTATCGGAATTTGGTAATCGTTAATTAATTCT